AAATTTTGTTATTTTTATTTTATAATATGCAAGAAATCTCTGAATGCATATTGCTACAGCTTTATAGTTTCTAAACTTTTATTTAAATAGCTGAATTTCAAATAAAATTCTTAGCATGTTGTTTTAATTTCCAACAATGAAGATAGATATATTATCATTTTTATTTGCTTCCTAATTCTCGATCGTATTTAACAATACTCAATATTAGTTTTAATTAATTCAACCAATTAAGGTTTACTGAAAGTTTTTGATTAATTCATTCATTGCTTGTAGGATTTAATTTGATATCGTCACCTGTGCAATTAATTTAAATTAATTATTATTACTTAAATATTACTAACTTATTGTTTACTTAACTATTATTAACTTTTGTAAATGTTGATCTTTGTTGCTGAATATTAGCTCTCATCATTTGATCATTGAATATTAGTTGTTATCATTAGCTTTTGCTTACAGATATCATATTTTGTTCTTTTACTGAACTTTTTGGTGATAATGTTTTGAGTAATAAAATTAACTTATTTTGTTGAAATAAATAACTGAGAGTTTCCTTACCTTAAAGAAAAAAATGAAAAGAAATGTTCTACAAAATATTTTTAGGACAATACTCTTTCAAATTATTTAAATGAAATATTTTTAGCAAACAATTCGCTGTATGGCAACAATTCACACAATTATTGCTATTATTGTCTAAATCAAATAATAATTGTATTATCATTTATTAGAAACAAAAATTGATTGTAAGAGATAAATTGCGTTAAAACTAAAAACAAAATTCGAAATTATTTACTTCAATGAAATGAAGTTTTTTCTCATCTTTCTTCTGTTTTTCTTGCATTTCTTTATTCATTCGGAAAAAAAGCGCTTTGTATAAGAAAGAAGTTTAACAATTTCATTTATCGACTCTTAATATATATATATAAAAAACTTATAAAAAGAATAAATTAATTGCATTTTTCACATTACTCTTTTATTTACTATAATTTATAACCATTTAATTTCAATTGCTTTTTAGTAGATTTTTTGCCACATCAGTTTCTATTATATAATTAATTGGATAATTCTTTAAAATTTTCTTGAAAATTTTATCAAAATCTCTTAAAATAATAGTTCTATCATTTAATTGTAGCATTTTTCATTATCAAAAAATAACTTTTGAATGTTTTTATTATTTTTGAAATCATTCCTTTCTCTATATATCATTTTCATTTTCAATGATAATATGATAATATAGAAAAAGCTCAAGCAATGTTGACATGTCGTTTAGAATTTTAATGAAATTTATTCTGAACCTAAACACATTATAGTATCTTTTATGAAATAATAAGAAGAGAATCTCTCAAAAGTTTCCAACAAATTTTTATTTTGAATAAAATTGTAAAATAATTTGAATGGAATGAAATTTTCATTTTATATTTTAGTATTGAAATAATAATTTGACACCAATTAATACTCAATTTTTGGATCTAACTTCATGCCCTTTTAATTTGAAATGTTTATTTAGCATTAAATATTTGTTCTAATATGTTTTTATTTTTCCATGTTGCTGATAATAAGTTATAAGTTCTTCATTTAAAAGAAAAAAAAAAAAAAAAACAGCTTATTAAGAAAAAAGAATCATTGAACTATTTGAATTAAATTACCACTGAAAATTTACAAGTTTATTATTGATATTTAATTTAATACGAAAATCAACAATTATTAGGTAAACAATTACATCAGAGCAAGTTCAAATATAAGAAAATGAAAGAAAATTCTGCATTTCATTAAAATTATGAAAGAAAAATAAGTTTTATTTCAAAAAAAAAAAAACAAGAAAAAAGTTAAGGAAACATAACAATTAATAAAAAAGAAATGAAATTTTCATGTCTAATTATGACAATTACCGAATATTTGATAAATATTTGAACGTCGAAGATTATTTCAATAATTTACATAAAAATTATAATTAAATCTAAGAAACTGATAAGTGATACATTTCTGATTTATATAACGATGATAATGTGTATGATATCATCCGACTGATTATTAATTATTGCAATGATAAAAGTAAATGCAAAGTAAAACAATTTGATTAACAGCTATATGCTAAAGTTAAATAATCATCATTACATATCAAAGTATTTATAATAATTTGGCATCAAAAATTTACATAATTTATCTTATTTTATTACAAAAAATCACTAATTATTATTAAAATAACAATAAAATAATGATTAGAATTCAAAGAAAAAACGAAAAAAAAAAAAAAAAAGGATTATAAATATTTCAAGAATAGCTGAAAAAAAAAATCAATAAAAATTGATAAATAATTGAAAAAAAAAAAAAACTTTGTCTAAAATGGTTGATTGAAGTAGTGATAACAATGATAATTTTATTGATGCAATATAAATAAACAATGTGAGAAATGAGGGCAATAGTTCCCGATGTTAGGGAGAAAATTCGTTGATTCAGCATCAGAGAGACACACTTCCCGAAGATTTACGATTATAACATACGGATGGATATACAGGCAATATTGGCCGCATCATCCAAGGAAGACAATCTCGGGCCACGGGACTTGATTTACGGCTCAAACGAAACAACGCCTCCGTACTTCTCTTTGAATTAATATTTCCAATTGGGAATTTTTGTTGAGCCAACCGGCATTATCGACCAATTTGATTTGTTGCTTACATTTTGTTCACTTTAAATCCTCTTTTTGCTTTAAAATTTTGATTTATCTAAAATTTAGAAACTGCAAGTTACGATATATATATAAATTGATTGGAATAGCTTTTCAAGTTAATATTTTAAATATTTCATCTTGATAAAAAAAAAATTTTTCTTGATAAAATTAAATAAATAATAAATTTTTTTCATTTATTCATATTAACTAAAGGTTTAATGTAAAATTTAAATGAAGAAAAAAAAAAAAAAAGGATTAGTTGAAATGATAATTTAAGGCAATATTAACTGATAATAGAAAAATGCAAAAAATTTTTATTAATAAAACAATTTCTTAAGAACATTAATGATTTATATCTTGCATAAATTGCCTTTGTTCTATTTCATATAAATATTCTTTTCATTTTAAATCGATATATACCACTAATATCTTATTAGCATCAATGTTTATAATTTTTTCTAATTGCTTTAAAATTAACAATAAGCAAAATTCGTCCATTAATTTTTTTTTTTTTTCATGTTAATTAATATATTTGTTTCCAAAATTAGAAATTTGATTAAGAAAATTCAGCTTAAAAAATAGCAGAATTTTTTTTTTTTTTGCTTATTCTTTCTTGAACAAATGCTTCCACAAGCTAAATCTTTTATAAAATTTCCTCCTTTCAGTTGAACTAAATAAAATACAAAAAAAAATGAGAAAGAAAAAAAGGAAAGAAAGGCGGCCTTTTCTATTCCTTTAGATTACCGCCATAAATTTTACACCACCACTACCGCAACACAAGTTGAAATTCTACCGTAATCAAGACTTATCCGTTTTTTTTTCTTCTTGATGACAATTTATTATCAATGTATGCAAATAGATCATTTATGTTACATATTTGTTTATTTATATGGTTATATGACTGTATGACTTTCCCACCTGAATCTGAACTTAAACCTAAACTCAAATCATTTATTCGTAGGTTGACCTTTGACTGTTATAAATTTTTATAACCACCGACTATATTCAATTCATCATTATTCACTATGTCAACTGTCGCATTGTTACGAATTTATTAGAGTAATAATCTGTGATTTTATCAAGCAGCAAAATCTCTTGCAATATTTTAAGTTTTATCTAAAGTATTAAAGTTGTTTTAATTGTTTCGATTGCAGAGAAGCGATAAGAAAATTGATTTAGTAGGCAATTTGTTCAGACAACAAATTTATCAAAATTTTGCAAAGTAAACGCTTAATTAGTTATTTAATAGCAATTTCTAAACTAGTAAATTACCGATATATTAGAATAAATTTGAAATTTATGATTTTTGAAATTTATTTTAAAGAACTACCATTAGGTAGGATTTGTTTTGCAAAAATCAGTTGAATAATACTCATCAAAAAATTATTTACTTAAAAAATTTCAAACTAACTAACAATCTGATTACCATGTCAAAACAAACAATTTTTTTGCTATCAAATATTAAAAGCATATGATTTTTGAATTACTTTTTTCTAAAAATCTGAATTTTCTGTTTTCTTTTTAAAGTTTCAATTTTAAATCAAACAGGTAAATTATTCATTGTTCTATTCATCTTTGCCCATCACAAATTATTTTTATCAAATTAGAATTTTCCATAGCTATGATAATAAAGACTTCAAACATAAAAAGAAGAAATATTTATGCTCTCTGCTGAAGATTGTAGATAATTAGTTCTTTGAAATATCAAAACATTTAATATCAAAATTATTTATTGCTATTTGTTATCAAAAAATGGTAGAAAAACAGGTGAAAAAGCAAAAATCTTCAATAAATGACAAATAATCATTTGCTATTCACAATATTAACAACAATTTCGCTAAATGTGAACAAAAATTTTCCTAAAATAAAAGATCAATTTCATATGATTATGGTATGTTGTACTGTAATGCACTACTGATCAAGGAATACTGTAGCATACAAACACATAATGTTCTTTGTCGAGAATTGTTATTTATCGTTTAACAAAATAATTTTTAATTTTTTATCAGGTAAAGAAGAAAAAGAAAAGAAGAAAAACTTTTCCCTTTTTTGTAGAACTGCAGAAAATCATATATATTCATTTTTTTTAAAAAAAAATATACTATTAAATACAGTCGAAAAAAAGTTTGATTTATTCAAACTTTAGACATATTAGCATATATACTAGCTTTGATTAATGTATTGGAATATACTATTTGGTTAAAATAGTATATTTCAATTTTTTTAAAAATTTTTAAAATAAATCTAAAATGACAATTTTACACGTGCATTAAATTATCTGATAGGCTTCATTTACTAGTATCTACCATATTAGCATAATGTACGATCTTGATTTATTTAAGTTGGCTCTTAATTTTAACTACATAATCCTTAAATTTATATCATTTTTTGTTATTAAATCATTTTAGAATTTCTTAAAGATTAAAATTATTTTTTTTTTTTTTTTGCGATTGTTGTATTCTTTACTAAATAGATATTATTACAAAACAGAAGACACTATAAGATTGTCTGAAATAGTTAATTCATTTATAAGCTATTTACGATAACCTTCGACCTTCACATATCTATCTATTTATTTAGAATTGCTTTTTACAAATTAAATTGACATTTATGTTTGATATTTCTTCTATTTTATGCTTAGATGATAAATACTCAGTCAATTATTCGAATTACTATTATTCACGATCATTTTATTACTGATAATATCATACCTTTGTTCGTTTTATCAGTTATTATCAGAGAAATCATACTATTCATACTATATATATATATATATATATATATATATATATACATAATACGACATAGATCATCTTTAAAATTTCTCGAACTAAGTACGATCATTTTACAGTAGTTATTGTTGAGCAAGAAATATTTTCAATAACCTGGATTGGCAATCTGAATGTAGCAAATTATTTGAAAGATGGAACTAATGCACTCAGCCTAAGATGTCAAGGTCAAAGGACACCATAAGTAATTTAACAATGAATTAACTATTTCAAAAAATCCTACAGTGTTTTCTGTTTTTTAATAATATCTATTTAGCTTGTTCGATTTTTGTTCCTTCAACTTCAATAATTAAAATTATGTTTTTTAAAAACGTGGCATTCCACGTGAATATCAAAAGTTTTATCAGTATACAATGATAATTTGTTTTTTGTTTTGGAATATGTTAATCAGTTTACAGAAATCGCGCTATAACAGTAATGGCATCAAATGATAAAACATTTTGTATGATGCAACTAAATTTAAGGAATCAAATTATTATTAGCAAATGTAAGCTAATTCCAAGAATTCAAATGTATATGCATTTGATATGATTAGCTTTAGATATTGAAGCAATTTTTAATATCATTTCAAAATTATCTCCCAAATCATTCTGAATTGAATTCCTGAAAAAGGAAAAATTTTGCAAGATTTTGAAACTTTAGAAAAAATGTCAAGTCATTCATTTATTTGTTGCATAATCGCTTCTATTCTTGACATTTAATTTTTATTAGTTATCATTTAGAAATAATAAAGTAATAAAGATAACACAGATTAGTACACTGATAATTAGTAATGAGAAAGACTTTAAATATATCTGGCTAATACATTAAAGCAATGATTTTTTAAATGCTAAGTGGAATTAGAAATTTCTTAAAATTTATTTCTTATTTTCAATAACATACCTGAACTTTTGATATTGAATTCGATCGATCACATATTAGAAATCACTTAGAATGCAACAGAATATTCTGAGCATTGATTATTTCATATTTCTGCTAACAATTTATTGACCATTTACTCCAAAGAATACTGTTTAATTTGCAATCAAGTAATATTTTTTAAGAATATTTGATGAGATCTATTTCAATGAGTAAATAAATGCTATAAAATGGTTTTTAAGGACAAAAATGGTTATAAAATTTTTTAAAAACAAGATGATTATAGTATTATTTAAAAAAAAAAAAAAACATATTTTTAGAAAACATAAAGAAATTAAAAAATTTAAACAGTATTATTTCAAAATTAAAAATCCTTTTCTTCTGCGTTAAAAAAATTTGCAGAAAAGTTTCATGGAAGAGTGGTAGTGTATGTTTTAAAAAATTTAAATAATATTTTTATCGAAGGAAACTATCAGTGCGTATAGCTTAACACTTTAATCAGGAAAAATTATTTGATTAAAAACTTAACATTTCGTTAATGGATAAGTAATATCAGTAAATTGTTGATTGAACGAATAAGTGATAGCATCAAATGAATGAACTATTCATTTGTATGATGCGATTTTTGAAATTTTCCGTCAATTCAGCAATGCCTTCTAAAACCCGAGATTAACAGCAAAGAAGAAGAAACTGGTTTTTTAAAAAAGGCAAAAGAAAACGAATGAAAATTAAAAAAAAAAAAAAAAAAAAAAGGAGAGAGAGAGAGACAGAATGCATAAGAGGGAAACGATGAGACGACTGAATGATTGAAATTTTTAGATGAAAGTAAAACAAAAAAGGAAAGAAAAAAAATAAATAAATTACATCTTTGTTCAATCAAACAAATTATTGAATTTCTAAGTAAATTTTTTATGAATTTTCTTTTTTTTTTTCTCTAATAAATATTTGTAATATTTATTTATTTTTCTTTTTAAATTCTTTCTACTTTTCTTTTTTCACAGTATATTTTAGACTAAAATAAAATGCAAATATATGAGGTCAAAAAAAAAAAGGAAAATTTGTTGAGGTAAAGTTGGACAATGATTTTAAGGAGAAAAGGATCTAATTTATTGGGCACATTAACAAGATGAAGTAAGGCAATCATCCGACATTCGCCGATCATTTGTTTCTGTTAACGACGTGAATAAATCAATTCGACGCTATCTAACCAATGTTGCCATTTCTGATAATATCCAAATTTGCCAACCAAAAAATGTGACAACAGGGACGAGCGGTGAAATGTCTTTCACTTTAGTATCATTATGGAATGAATTGTTTTTTCCAAAAATATTTCTCATCCATTCTTTTTTTTTTCCTCTCTCATTTTTATTTTATTCTATTATTTAACTTCTTAAAAGAATTTTTTTTTTTTTTGAAATTTTGATAAAAATATTTTTATTTTATTGCTACAATTTATAAAATTTTTATAGTTAAAATTAGTTTAAAAAAAAAAAAAAAAGCCTTTGAGTAAATGATTAGTTGCATGCAACATGTAACACAATGACTTTTGGGGTAAAATTTACAAATTTCAAAAATTTCACGACTGACTTCTTTTTCTCTTCTTTTTTTCCGTTCTTTTTTTTTTTTTAATCGTCTTAAAAATCTTTAAATTTTTCTTTGATCGGATCTATGCTATGTTCTAATAATAATGCCTAGAGACTTACTCTTTCTTTTTTCTTTTTCATCTTCTATAAGCTTTTCATTCCCACATGAATTGTCTTTCATAGCTAATTTCATTTCAATTTCTTTCTCTTGAAACCTTCCTTTTTTTTTTTCTTCAATTTCTATAACAAGAGTTGTTTTTTTCTTCTAAAAAATTAAATTAACCATTAAATGGAAACAAACTGGGAAAAACAAAATAAGTAAGAAAAGATTGATGAATGAAAATCATCTCTATCTGATCATTTTACTTGCAATATGTCTTCCAATGGCTATGTGTCATAGTTATGAATATCAAATTTTAGGAAAATGATTTATGATACTCAGTAGTTAATCATTTCATTTAATCTAGAGTGTTTTGTATTGAAACATATATTGATTTAATAAGTTAGATTAATCAAACAGTCTTCGAGAATTCTTTTTATTTTTGTATTTTTTTCTTTTTTTTTTTTTGCAAATTTTCTGAGGAACTGTATAAACATTTTGTTTTTATTATTATTTTTCTTTTCTTCAGTTAGTTTTTTCTTTTTTTTTTTGATGAAACACAAAATTTTAATCTTAATCATTTTAATTTCAATCTTTTTCTCGTTCATTCCATTTCATTTATTCCATTTTGTTTAATTATTTTGCATAATCATTTTAATTTCGGTTTTTTCCTCCATTTTTTCATTTTATTTAATTATTTTGCATTGTCAAATTGTTGTCTTTATTTTATCAAATTATTTTTTTTTTTTTTTGTCTTATTATTACGAATACCAATTTATTATATTATGAATCTTTTATTGCGTTCATCTTAATTCGTTTAAATTAAAAAGTTTAATTAGCGATCATTAATTTATTATCTATTAATAAATTAGTATGTATAATCGTTATACCAATTAAAACATTGAAAGATAATATAAAATGCATTAAATTTCATTTTAGGATTCTTCTTTTTTCCTTTTTCTTTTTTTTTACACAAACAAATATTAATCTTTTATGGCGAAAAAAAAAAAATTGTGTTTTTGTAGGAATGATTTAAGGATTTAGATGATAAGTTTTAGAGTATTACGGTAGTGGTTATTGCGAGATTTCCAGTGAGCAGAGAGAGGGGATGAGAAAAAGTGGAAAGGGAAAGAAAGGATTGAAGGAGAAAATGATCTGATATACGGGAAATTTCTATTACTATTAATGTTTGCTTGTGCTACTTGGTTAGTGAGAGTGTTTTGTTGAAAAAGTTTTATTTTGTTCTTTTGTTTATTTGTTTTTTTTTTTCTTTTATTTTTGTTTCAAATTTAAAAAGAGAAAGCTTTTCTTTCTTTCCCTCTCTCTCCGCTTCCTCTCTCTCTCTCTATGATTGTTCGTAATCGCTTAATTTTTCATATATATCATCTAATAAGTAAATTAGGAAGACTCACTTTGTTTTTCAAAGAAGAAAAACAAACAAACAAATTCAATGTTCTATTTGATTGCATTTCGTTTTAAATGTTTCAGAAGTGTAAATGATTTCATTAGCTATTAAAATAGACAATATTAACTTATGTAATGCCAAAAAATTGAAGTATATGAAATGGATTCAACAGGGAAAAAAACATAAAAAGGAGAGAAATTGATTGATGATTTCGCGTTTTCGGTTTTGTGCTAAATGTATGGATGTGTGTATATACATATATGTATATATTGTCCCATCTCGTCCTCTACTCTTTCTACTCTGTTTTTGGGGTGTCTCGATGAAATTTAGTCCTTTTAAGTATATATACGTGGGTGTGTGTGTGTGTATGTATGTATGTGAGTGGGTGGATGGATGGATGAGTGTAGATATGTAAATGTATGTGTGTGGTGTATGTGCGGGGGATGAGATTAGGAATATTGAGGTAGGAGGAATGGTGTATGAAGGAGGGAACGAATGTGGAATCAGTGTTTTGAATGTGGCGCTTTTTTAATTGATGGAAGTTTTAAGAGGATGTAAGTCGGTGAGGGGAACGAAAAGGAAGGAAAAAGACGGAAGGACGAAGGCAACGTATCATCAGTTCTTGGAGAGAAGAGAAGAAGGAAATGTTCGAATGTGGCATTAGTCGGGGGTTTTAGCCCACTCATTGGGTTTTGAAGTAGCCGCCATCAGAAGGATGCCGACAACTTCTGACAGATGACTGAGAGAGAGAGAGAGAAAGGGGTCTCTTCTATCTTACCCTTCGCAATTCCCACTCTTCGATGCTCACAACGCCAATACCCTAATTTCACTTACAAAACTTTACGCTTCTTCTCCAATTCTACTTTCCTCACCTTCTGTCTCGAACGATCAAGGAACTGAGACTAATATGATCCTGAAAGTCAACCATTCCGAAAGATGGTTGGATGACATTAAGGAGCGATCAGGCAATCTTCATCCACTACTGATAGCACTACTAATTGTGATAAAAGCAATTGTGACTGACTTCACTGATTCAATGACTCATTCACTGATCGGTTAATCGACTAACCGATTCAATGACAACTCACTAACCAACCAACCAACTAATTGTTGCAATCTCATTCATTCTGTAAATGAATTCAGCCTTAAATCATATCATATCGATATAGAATTCATAAATGTGATATAACTCTGTCTCTCTCTCACTTCCCTCTCTCTCTCTCTCTCTCTCTCCCTTATTCATATAAATATATATTTAAGTATAAAAACAAGAAAAGATAAAGGAAGTGGGTGATTTTTGATGTTTTGATGCGTGAAAATTGAGATTTGAGAATTTTTTTTTTTGGAAAAGAAAAAAGCACTTTAGAGGAATTCTGAATGAAGAATGAATGAATGAATGATTGAATGAATGAATGAATGAATGAATGAATGAATGAATGAATGAATGAATGAATGAATGAATGAATGAATGAATGAATGAATGAATGAATGAATGAATGAATGAATGAATGAATGAATGATTAAATGAATGAATGAATGAATGAATGAATGAATGAATGAATGAATGATTGAATAAATGATTAAATGAATGAATGAATGAATGAATGAATGAATGAATGAATGAATGAATGAATGAATGATTGAATAAATGATTAAATGAATGAATGAATGAATGATTGAATGAATGAATGAATGAATGAATGAATGAATGAATGAATGAATGAATGAATGAATGATTAAATGAATGAATGAATGAATGAGGAATGAATGAATGAATGAATGAATGAATGAATGAATGAATGAATGAATGAATGAATGAATGAATGAATGAATGAATGAATGAATGAATGAATGATTGAATGAATGAATGAATGATTGAATGAGTGATTGAATGAATGAATGAATGATTGAATGAATGAATGAATGAATGAATGAATGGAGGAATGAATGAATGAATAATCGAAAGAAAGAACGAGAACGAAGAAATGAATGAATAAAAATATGCGACTGTTAAAATAGAATGAATGCATGGATTATGGAGTGCTGATATTACATGTCTCACAATGAAAACTTTTACATTATCAATCAAAAATTGCAACTCTTTATATTTGGCAAAATTAAATTCAAAAGCTAAAGAATGAAATTTGAAAGTTTAACTAAGATAATGGGTGATTACTCATTATCATGCCTTTCTTGGCAAAATCCCAAGCGATTAAATTAACTATACATATCATTATCATTATAATCATAATCCTACCTATCATCATTCCACTTATCTATCAGTCCTCTCTATCTATCTATCAGTCTATCAATCCATCAGTCTATCAACCTATCTATCTATCCATCTATCTATCTATCAGTTTATCCATTAGACTGTATGTTTGCATGTTGTGTGGTCGTCATCTGATGTGGAGGATTTCCATCCGTTGCACCGCCCCTACTGATCGTTCATTCGCCAAAGACGGGGCGGGGGGAGGAGAGAATCTATCGAGAAACTCTCTTTCCATTCTATTCTATCTGATCCTTTTCTCTGCTTCGCATGATTTCTCTTTCCCGTTGATTCGTTGTTGTTTTAGTACACGAAAAATTGCTGCTAAAAGAAAAAGGACAGAGCGATGGTACGAGATGTCGCGGAGGTGGTTCTCGAGTTGGGATTATTGAAGTTTCATTTCAGATTGATTATTTGTAAAAAGGGAGGACAAGAAATTTGTGAGTGTGTAAGTAGTATCAGTGGATCGAATCATTCAATATTGTATGTTTCAATATAACGAGAAAGTGGCGCTGCAACGCTACGTTGCTCAATTTGTATTGCTTAACGTAGCTAAACGTGAATAAGTGCAAACAAACTGTTTGGAATTATTATTTTCATCAAAATTTACTGATAATTATTTGTGACAACAAAAGGCTTCGATTAGCAACAATTTAGTGAATGATTAATATCGAAAGATATGACATCAGCAGAGCAATTTGCATCAGAGATCTCAAATTATTACTATGATCAACAACAGTCAAATCCGAGACTTACAACCACCAATAATTCCGCCGCAGTACCGACATCACTCTCCGCTCCAACATATTATCCAAATGCGCAATACAGTGCTCCTGATTCCAGTCAACATGGTCCGGTCGGTACATTTATCGTTTTCTTGTCATTCTATTTGATGAATTAAACAGACTGAATTAATAAGAGATCATTTTATAATTTATTATCATTGAAAGATTAATAAAAGTTCATAAAATTATTTATTAAAAATATACTGCAGAAAAAAAATGAATAATTTTGTGTAATTAACATATTCTTTCCTTTAATTTTACCAAAATATTATCAGCAATGAGGAAGTAATGGTGCTTGACGATATCATTAAAAACTATAAATTTGTTATTAAAAGTATCATAAATAAAAGTTTAACTTCTTTTAATATTACTGATTAATTAATAATCCATTGTTGCAATAAATGCCAGAAATACAGCAATTTATTCATCTTTTATTAGTGAAAATTTACTATTATAAGATATAAAAACCTTGAAAAAGTTAATATTTTGCTAATACAAAATTTACTTTGCTAAATTATCACCAATGTTAAATGGCATATTTTTTACTAAATAGCATAATTTCTATTATGGGTCAGGATTTTAAGTATTTTTTAAAAACTTTCAGATAATTATTTTCATAGTTACATTACTTATAAAAGATTGAAATTACTTCACAATAATTTTTCCATCCTTAAATATGTAAACATTAGAACTGTTATTTACCTTATGAATTCACTATCTTCAATCTTTTGTTTTGACATAAAATAAATATTTTTGACTCAAATTTATCATTGTAAAACTTTCATAATAATTAAATTTCAGAAAAAAAGAAATATGAAAATCAGTAATAGACTGAAATTTCATTTCTGTTCTTATTTTTATTGACTATACAAACTAAAGTCTATAAATTTGATATTATAATATGAACATTTGAAATCACGTAAACAACATACAAAACATCATAATTTTGATTAAGTTTAGGATAACTGGATTATTTCAGTTTCATGCAAATGCTTGGATTTTCAATTCAGTTTATTCAGTTCCATCAAACTAGGGCGATTAATTTTAAAGGTAAAATCAATCTGGTCTGTTAAAATGACGAATTTTGCAAATTAAGAATAGAATAAGTTATTTTTGTTTTTGTTTTTTTCTTTTTAACACTCAGCTCCAATGTTTATTCCTAAGTATTCATTAAAGTCATTAAAGTATTAACTAAGATTAGTTCATTTTTACTATTTTAAAAAAAAGCAAATCTCAGTACGATATTGCCTTTTTGTCTTAATGTTTCTAGAACAAAATTTTCAGTAGCTAATAAGAAATAACACGCAAATACTGTAATTATCAACTTTTGTTAAGTAAGTGATGTAAGGATAAATTCTATCCCAAGAATTATTGAAATTTCAGGCATTTTTTTTTTTTTTAAAGAAAAAATGATTGAGCAAATGGATAGTAGTTTTTAATATTATTAAATTTTTTTTTTCTCGAATTAGACTAACTTCTCTTAGCATAAACATTTTATACTAACTATCATGTAAGACTTTTTCTCATGACAAATTGCGCTTATCGTTGAAAGATGCATGAAAACTCAGCAAAATATATATTAGAATGCATTTGCACAAAATATTAAATTGTATGGCAAGAAATATTTGACATTTAAAAGAGTCGATAAAAGCAATTGGTAATTACCTTTCGTAATTATGAGCAATAATAATCTTACTTTACTGTAGCAAGCAATTTTAATGGATACTGTAGGTAGGTTAATCTTCAAATAAATTAAAGCAGTTGATTAGTCTAAAATTCACCTTTATCAATGTCTATTATAATTTACTGAAAACTGAACAGCTTTCTACAAATAGACCTGAATTTCAGATTGTAAATATGAATTTATAAATATGAATGCTAAAGAAGAAGTAAAATAAGATTATAATTTTTTGAAAGAAGTAAAGATAATTTGAAATATAGGAAAAAGTGATGATAATAATAGTATTTTAAAACTTTTCCTCTAGGTAATATTAATTAATTGTCATTAGTAAAATAATGTGATATAATTTTTGAGTAAAAATTCCTTGAAAGAAATGGCAACATTTTTTTTAATTTTTTTTTTTTTTTGGAAGTGAGAGAGTTGTTAGTTTTGGTATTAATGGTTAACCGTTAATGAGTTTTAATAAATCAAATGAAAAGGCAATGAGCCAATTAATTTAGATTTATTACATCGATAATGTGTCTTTAAGTGAATTTTCTATCTTATAGCTTTCCATTTTTTTCACAATTTTCATTCAAGTTTAATTTTATGTTTGTCTAATTACCCTTAGCAATAAATCAGAATAAATAAATGGTTGATTATAAAATTAACAAATTATATTTTAATTAATTTATACTATTATTATCAAATATCTTTTTCTTATATAATAAAGCTAATGTAATATATATTTGAATAAGATTTGCTAAGAAAAAAGATCAATAATTACTAATCTATGTTATTTCAACCTTAATCATTCCTTGATAAGTTCTGTCGAGACTAGTCAATTATAATTCTTCCTCCTATTTTCGCTTATTTTTTTAAATCTTATTATTTGTTAGTATATTATATGTATAAAAGTAATAAATGATTAGTTAAATTAAAATTTAAAAAATTTTTTCACTATCTTAGTCAAGTGCTGTCAAATTTTAATCTAAATAATATAACTCTTTTACATCCTGTATACATACTTCAGTAGCTTATCTAATATCTTTTATTCCTTCATATTTTTTTTTCAGACATTAAAAATAGGATAATGTTTATTTTTATTAATTTGGAATAAAATTTTGCAAAGTTTAATGTAATATTTCGATTAATTGTAATTTAATAAAGTGGGATTTTTCAGTAATAATTTTTTCAACAATAAATTTTACAAATTTAATGTATAATTTAATTATAATTTTATAAAAACGTGATTTTTCAGTGCTAATATGAATATTTAAAATTTTTATTTGTAATCATCAATCATTCTAGAAGTTTCTGCTTTGTATTTGAAAAATTGAAATTAAAAAAGAAAAAACAAAACAATTCAAATCTGATTGAAATTTTATGAATTCAAATCTAATCAAAATTTTATGTTTTCATGCTTTTTTTGCTATGATTTTTTGAGGAGAAAAAAGATTGAAATTATCATTTTTGTTTTTTTTTTTTTTTTTTTTTTTTTTTTTTTTTAATTTTTATTTTTTAAATTGCAGAGCTCATCATGTAGTTACAATAATGGAGAATGGAATAAAAATGGAAAAGATGTTGAAAAAGAGGAGGATGATGAAGAGAAGAATAATGTGGCCGTATATCCATGGATGACACGAGTTCATTCAGCTAGTGGTTAGTTTATAATCATTCATTTAATTTAAATTTCAAATAATTTTTCAATTTTCATACTGAAATATTGTGTGTGTATGTGTTAGTTTTTAAATTAACTATATTTTTACAAAATACTGAAACAATAGACCTAAATTTATAAAAAAATTTTTTATAAAGTAATTTAAAGATGTTAAGCTGTGAATTATGGTACTTATTGTATATGCTCTTAATAGTTATACAAAAAATATATTTCATCGATTTATTGATTCTTTATTCAGAAATTGTTTTTAATTTATTATTAAATTTTAATCTAGAGGAAGTTGAATTTAATGTGTAACATAAATTATACCTAAATAATAATTCAGCAATTGCTTTGATTAATTCCTATCAGATAATTATAGCTATGATAATGCTAATAATTTAAAATATCAATAATCAATTCTTCATATATCATGAAAATTATAATATATCTTAATTTCAGGAAGTTTTAAATGATAATATAGCCTTTTTTTTCAATAGAATAACTAAAATTTAAATTTTAAAATTTAGGTGAGATAAATTTGAACTAAATTTAAAATCGTTGTTTTGAAAAATAATAAAATTATTTCTAGTCCTATTTCCAAGCCTTTCTTATTTTTCATTTTCTTATCTTTCCTAAATTTATTGCTGAAATAAATTTTTCTTATTCTATTATCAGTTTCACTTTTTTCGTTTTTTCCTCTTTGGTATTTATATTTAAAAAATAATAGATCAAATAATTTAATTTGTTCATATTCCAATTTATCTGGATAAGTTTATGAAGCTTATGATAAAAATTTATTGAATATTATATGAAATGAAACTATTAACAAATTATTATCATTTTTTATTAAATATGATAATAGAACAAGTGAAATTTTTTTTTTTTAAAAGATTTTTATTTTTTTAAATTTCTCGTTTCTATACAATTTTATTTATTTTCACCTCATTTATTGAGAATTTTTTAAATCATTGAAAACAAGCGTTATTTTTTTTTTTTTTTTTTTGTTTTCGGTTTGTCTTATTACATCAGTAAATTGATTATTATGCAAATTTTTATCAGCTTTCTCTTTTTTTTTTCCTTTTTTTTTTCTTTTCCAAATTGATTGACAATATTTTGATTACTAGAAAAAAATGCAATATGCATGGAAAATGGATTGAGAGATAGATAAATATTATTTAAAAGACTAAAGCTTTAGAATATAGCTTTTTCATTGTCTCTTCTTGTGCCATTTTAAAGTGAATGAAAAAGAGAAAACGAAAAGGTTGAAAATAAGAGGGAAAAATTATTTGTTAATAATATAAAATGAATGTTTAACAATCATTTATATTCGATTAAAAAAACTTCCACAAAATAATTTGTAAAGTATAAGTTATGCATGTATTAAATATTATTAACTTTTTGATGAATGCAAATTTTACTTTAAAATTTTTTCTTATTTTCTCACTTTTTTCCTTCTCTCTCCTTTTTTAAATAGTTCATAAAAACTGTTTTAATTAAGACAAATTATGAAATTTTCAAAACGACAAATTAGAAATTGTAGGAGGAAGAAATTTCTTAATATAAATCTAACTCTAATATAATAAAAAGCAGACAATTAATATAAATATATATATTTTGATTTATACAAATCAGAGAGAATTGCGCAAATGACAAAAAAGAGATATACATATGATTAGCATTGGCGCTAATGTCATTTTTATTTGGTTATCATTTCTAATTTATCACATTTCCTTCATTTTTTCCGTCATTTATGTTATAAAATTGATTTAAATTTGTTAAGCTCTGAATTATTTTTCTAATACATCTGTTTTTTTTTTCATTAATTTTTTCAACTTATTCAAAAATATTCCACTGAGATGTGACTAATAAAGGAATGACTCAAAATTCGATCACTGATCTTCAATTTCAAATTTAATTTTTGGAAAGCTGACCATTAAACGGGTTTTATTTAACTGCCATGATAAATTTATTTCGAATAGTTAATATCTGATTTAATATCTTCTAATTTTTGCAACAGAATTGATAGAATGACAATTTTGATTACGTTTACTCTATTAAAATTAACAATTCTAATACAATAGCTCTGGGTTAGAAAAATGAATATTCCAAAATACTAAATATTATTATTGCTAAAATTAATTTAACTTTAATGATACGTTAATTTTTTGGCTTAAATCATAAACTTAAAAAAAAAAATTTTTAAATGACAACTCTTAGTCTTATCATTTACACTATGTGATAATAATAACATTTCAATTATTCCATTCATTATAAAATTAATATAACTATTATTCATTTCTGATATTTTCCAATCAACCAATAGTATTAATATTAGAATTTTAGACAAAAAAAAAAAAAGAAAAAATGCAGGAAATGTTTAATTCTTACATGGCATTTTTTGGCATACGGTAGTGGCGGTGGTGACGTTCACAGATAATTACGCTTCGGCGCTGCAACTCCGCTCACTTTTTTTTTTTTCCTTTTCTTGTCATCCTTCTTTTTCCTTTTTTTTTTTTTTTTTTTTTTTTTTTTTTTTTTTGTCTTCCTGTTCAAATTTTGTGAAAAATTATTTTCTGCATTTCCTCTGTTATGGCTGATAAACCGTCATTTTTCATGTTTAGTAAAATTTCCTCAGATCATCCCGACACCAAATATCTCACAACTTCTCTTCCTTTCTTCTTCTTTTCTTCCTTTTCTTTTTTTTTTTTTTTTTTTTTTCATTTCGTAGAGAACAATTATATGATAAATTAGTTCGTTCACAGTTAAAGGTAACTACTACTTTCATGAAATGTTAGTTATTGATAATTTTAAAATTGTTATTAGATAATAGTTTTTTATTTTTTTTTTCCGAAAAAGTACTAATTTGGAATATTTTAATAGCATTTTCTAATATTGAACAAAATTTTTATCAAATTTATTTTTTATTTCCTCTTTCTGTCCTTTTTTTTTTTTATTTTTTATCTCTCCTTTTCTTCTTTCACCTTCTTATCTCTTTCTCTTTTTTCACCTTTCATCCTTTTATACTTATTTATTTAGTAGAAAAAAATGTTGTTTATTTTATTCATTTTTTTTTTCTTAATTTTAATTGTTATAAAATATATCATTCATTTTTAATTAATCTATTCGTTCTATCCATTGATAAGCCATAATAGTAATGATAATAATTACTTATCATTGTAATAATAATAATAATAGCACACTTTACTACTGTCATATTTACAAATATTCTATGAAAAAGCCATTTAGCTTATTAACTAAAGCTTACCTTGATATCTAGCCATGTTTATGATAAATGTATGCATATTAGAGTAATATCATCATTTACTCCTTTCCATTAAATGCATATTTTCATCTTTCCTCCTATCATATCCTGTCCTATCCAATAATTAATCATTATATCTCTTTAGCTTCCTTCTGTGGTATACGATCATTTAATCAATTTATCAATGTTTTTTTTTTTTTCTCCCTCTCTCTCTCCCTCTCTCTCTCTCTTTCTCCTTATTTTCTATTTTTAATCCATTACAAGCAGTATCTTGTACAATGCATTCGATCACTAAACAATGGCATCCGTTTGTATATCAAAATTAATTATTGGTAGATTAATTAGTGGTAAAACAGCTGTAGTAGTTTTTGTAATTAATTTGAAATTTGCTTGATATCATCCAAAAATGAAAATTCATCCAAAAATTTTTTTCACTCTAAAATTATGAATTACAATAAAAAGTTATTATAGCTGGTAATAGTGATATAATGTCTATTGTTAAATGCTAATAAATTTAAACATATTTGCATAAAATCAAACATAAAATTAAAATTTATTTTAATATTTAAAAAATTTTTGAAAGATTTGAATGATTTAATTTAACGAAACGATTAGATATCGATGGAATAAAGTTCATTTCTTGCTATTAATGTGAAATGAAATAAATGATACAATTTAAATGTTTCACTTGAAAAGTTGAATTTAAATTTATTAAACGAAGCAATAAAACAAACCAGCAGCAAACTATCATACATCATTTGTTTTTGTACTTCATAAATTATAATAGGTTTACTTTTTTCTTCGTCTAGCTTCTCAATTTTACTTTGTTATTTGATAAACAGAGAAAAGTAAAGCAGTTGATCACAGTGCATAAAATTTTGTTAATCCTAAAAATGATTGAATTAAAGTTTTGCTAACTAGCAAAATATAACTTTCATCAATTTATTCCTAAAAATTATAACTGAATTTAAAACAATACAAATAGTGGATGAATTTTTCAAATTTAACAAATGTAAAACTTACTGATATTACTTTCATTTTTAATCACTTACACTGATACTACATTGGATTAAGCAAAAGTGAAAGATTTGTTGACAGTTAAGCACGAGAATTAATCAAGTTTATTTAACACCTAAAGATTTTCATTCATACGTAAACATTGATTAATTGAAAAATTTAGTTAAGTTGTAAAATATCACTACTTTAAAATCAAAGTATTAAGGAAAAGATTAAAGATTGAATCAATTAGAAATTTACTACTGTAGCAATAGCAGCAGTAGTCGTAATCATTCTAATATAATTCTAATATAAATGTCAAAAAATGATGTTTAAATAACGAAAAAAAAAAAAAACTTTCTTCGTCGTTTTTCTTTCTCAAATAATTCATTAAAAAAAAAAAAAAAAAAGAACTGATTAAGTGATTGGTGGATGGAATTATTGTCCTCGACGGGTAATTTTTCTTATGATCAACAAATGATAACATTAACACATCATCTATTTTTTTATAAAAATTTTTTTTCAAAAAAAAAAAGTTAATGCTAATATTAAAATTTTTCTTTGCAAAAAAAAATATAAACAAATAATACATTTGTACTATTTTTGAAATATATAATATCGAATTTTTTTTTTCTTCTTTCTATTATATAAATTTGTTAAATTATATTATTCATATTTTATTGTGGTTGAAATAAATTTGCATAAGTGATTAAGCTTAGTATATTTCTCTCTATCATTTAT